AAGGTCAGGTAGAGCAGCGGCGTCCTGCACCGGCGGCGACGCGGAGCCCAGTGTCTCCTCGCCGTTCACGCGCAGGCTGCCTGGGGACAAGCGCGCTCAGTATCACGATAACTCCATGTGACTCTTGAACATTTATATGTAGGTTCCAATACGGTAACCATAAGCCTCATAAAGAAGCTCAAAGTTGAACAGCGTGCTATTGAAAGGGCTATGCTCGGTGTTTCTTTACGAGATCGCATCTCTTGAAATCGAAACAATCAAAAATGAGGAGATCCGTAAAAAAACTGAACGCTGACGCTGACATAGTCGGATGCACATGGATTAGCAAGCTAAAGTGGCAATGGGTGGAGCACATAGTACGCAGAACTGACGGCCGATGGGGCAGCAAGGTTCTAGAGTGGAGACCACATACTGGAAAACGCAACGTGGACAGACGACCTCATAAGGCACTGGATGCAGATAGTAATCAGGTGATGTGGAAAACATTGAGAGAGGCCTATGTTCAGCAATGGACGTGATGTGGTTGAATGAACTGAGCCAAGAGTTTGTATTACCCAGCTAGTATTTCCCTCTCTCAAAGGTGAATCAATACTTCTTTAAAAGATGCTAAATGTATCAAGTGGATAGAACCAGCGTTCCCCTCTCGTGTACCGAGAATACCACACAGCACACAGCTGCGACCACATCGACCGGGTCACATGGCGCGGCACCACAGCGACACATACCTCTCTCGAGGCGGTCGTAGCGCACCGAGAACACACGCGGCGGTCACAGCTGCGGCCACACCGACCGGGTCGGATGGCGTCACACATACCCCTCTCGAGGCGGTCGGCGGCGAACAGGCGGATGGCGTGCACGTGCGCGGGCCGCGCGTCGCAGTGCCGCCCGCCGGCCGCCACGCGTAGCCGCGCGCCGCCGTAGCGCACCGAGAACACCACGCGGCACGCCACCAGCTCCAGGGATACTGAACGGTTCTGCAAGGATAAGAGGCTAATGAACAATACAAAAACAAAATAAAAAGTATGCATTGGACTAGCACGCGATACGCTACAAAGAGCCTTGCCACACTGGCGGATTACAAGCGGTTTCAACGCGGAGCGACGCCGCGGCTTTTTGCAAGCATTTTGTCGACTGCGGCGTGCAAGCAAGCTGCTAGTGTGGCAAGGCCCTTACTCCAAAGACACAGGGCGGTTCTGCAAGGTACAGGGTACTGGTGAACAACGGAGCGGACAGAAAAGAAAAATATATTGGACTAGCACGCAGCACGCCACCAGCTCTAGGCACACAGAGCGATTCTGCAAGGATAAGCAACAGGGCTGATAGAAAAGAGAAACTAGTGATGTGATGGAGTAAAGCCCGGTCGCCGAGCACGTAGAATTTCGTCCAATGACCCCAAGCTACCCATCCTTATCGCTCGCGCGTAATTATGTTGCTGTCGAGCTCGCACACTCACTGCGGGTGCCCGTCGCACAGTCACCACAGCAAATATAATTACACGCGAGCGATAGGTCGCGCGAGGGTAGCTTGGGGTCATTGAACAAAATTTTACGTGCTCAGCGACCATTTCTGTTTTTTCGCGACATTCGACAGCACTAGATTGAAACGAACAATACTCACGTTGGCGGCATCGAGCGCCATAAACAGCAGCGCGTTCTCGTCGCGCGTGCGGAAGGTGAGCGCCACGCTGAACTGGCGCGAGTCGGGCGCGCGCAGCCCGCCGCGCCGCAGCTCGGCGTACCCGCCGCCGCCGAACCACGCCAGCGCCGCGCCGCCGCCGCCGCCTCGCCCACCGCCGCCGGGGTTGTACCATCTGCGCAAGGAATAGTGTCAAACTTATCTGGAAGCAAAGTGACCGTATTTGCGCCTCATGCCCGTTTTCACCATCAATCCCTAATTTTTAGGTGACCCCTATGTAAACAAAATTCCTGTTATTTGTTTTAAAATTGTTACCATAGGGTCTCTTAAAAATTAGGGATTGATGGTGAAAACAAACATCAGACTAGCAGATCAGTGTCAGCTGGGATAGGTAGTACTCGTACTCAAATGAATAATTTTGGTTTAAATTTATTATACTATAACGTTTATTTGACGTTTACAATGGTAATCGAATGAAAGTTAATAAGTGAAGTGAAGTAGGCGAAATTTATGTCATCGCGTTTTATACATGGAGGACAGCGCTATCTATCGGAGTACCGAAGAACTATGAGGCACCGGTCGATGTATGTCTTGCTGATCTGTGACGTATCGTTTCTTGATATCGATCTAGGGCCGCTGCTGTCACCCTATGCTTAATATACACACTAGATTCGACACTTGAACATACCTCTACGTACACCCAGTGCACTGTGACTTCTTGGGCTGGTGCTGGAAGTTCCACAGCCCCACACTAGCGTCGTCTGCATAGAGTGCATGCACGCAGCCTGGCAGACCCCCTGCACCATCGCGGCCCCCTAACCATAGTTGGGAACCAGTGAGTTTAACGACACTGGGGGCACTGCTGTTAGTATACACACTACATCCAGTGCACTGTGACTTCTTGAACTGGTGCTTTAAGTTCCCCAGCCCCACACTAGCGTCGTCTGCATACAGTGCGTCCTCACTTCCCCAAGTTTGAGTGGAGATCCAGTCAGCCGGACAGCGCTGGAGGGCGCTGCTGTTACCCTATGCGGTCAGTATACACGATACAAGCACGTACCTCTGCGTGCAGCCAGTGCATTGTGATTCCTTCGGCTGGTACTGGAAGTTCCACAGCCCCACGCTAGCGTCGTCTGCATACAGCGCGTGCACGCAGCCTGGCAGACCCCCTCCAGTTACAGCTGAGAGCCGGTGGCGCTGCTGTCACCCTATGTAGTCAGTATACACACTAGACGCGATATATTCACATACCTCTGCGTGCACCCAGTGCACTGTGACTCCTTCGGCTGGTGCTGGAAGTTCCACAGCCCCACGCTTGCATCATCTGCATACAGCGCGTGCACGCAGCCTGGCAGACCCCCGGCACCGTCGCGGCCCCCTAACCATAGTTGGGAACCAGGGGTGCTGTCATCCTATACAGTCAATATATACACTAGACGCGATATACAGTGTGAGTCACGTTAAAGTGTACATATGAAAATAGATGAAACTAGACCTATTTTTATCGACAAAAAAGAGGTCAAAAAATTTTTGAGATTTTTTTTAAATTTTTTATAGAATTTTTTTTCTTCCAATTACTTATTGTAAAGAAAGCGTAATAACTTAAACTAAGCGGTATATCCTGATAAAATAAAAACAGTAATAATGCTAAATAACAGGCAATACTAAATAATTACTTCTAATACACAAAAAGGCCAACAAATAATAAAAAATGATACTTTTTGAAAAAAATCTGCTTTAAAATTCGTGTTTTTTTGGTTATTTGATAAATTTCGTATTACCTTCGTAAAACCAAAAATCGCATGTCTCTATCCCTATCACAACGTTTGCAATGATCGTTTGAACTATTCCTCTCCGGGCGCGCCATACAATGCTTTGTTAACAACGAAACTGAAAATGGCTCTAGATTTGTAATTTTGATAAAGGCAAGTTAGATCTATATATATAAAAGAAAGTCGTGTTAGTTACTTCGCTTATAACTCAAGAACGGCTTAACTGATTTAGCTGAAAATTGTCAGGGAGGTAGTTTAGAGCCAGGAGAAGGACATAGGATACTTTTTATCCCGTTCGAAACAAAAAAAAAAGTCTGCTTATTTATTGCCATTAAGGCGGAACAAAGTTCGCCGGGTCAGCTAGTTTCAAATAAAAACAAAAGATTTCGAAGTAAAATAAGCATTTTAGTTAAAATTAAAATTGTCTGTACCTGTAGCGGAGAATAATGTTGTGGCAGGCCTTTGTTCAAACGATCATAGCAAATGTTGTGATAGGGATAGTGACATGCGATTTTTGGTTTTACGAAGGTAATACGATAGAGAATAATACAAAGTAATAAAAACCACCTATTATAGGGGCATTTTTTGGAAAAATTTATCAAATAACCAAAAAAACACGAATTTAAAAGCAGTTTTTTTTTCAAAAAGTATCATTTTTTATTATTTGTTGGCATATTTTGAGAATTTTATGTATTTTTTAGTATCGCCTGTTATTTACCATTATTACTGTTTTTATTTTATCAGGATATACCACTTAGTTTAAAAGTTATTTCGTTTTCTTTACAATAAGTAATTGGAAGAAAAAAAATTCTATAAAAATTAAAAAAAAAATCTCAAAAATTTTTTGACCTCTTTTTTGTCGATAAAAATAGGTCTAGTTTCATCTATTTTCATATGTGCACTTTAACGTGACTCACACTGTATTCACATACCTCTGCGTGCACCCAGTGCACTGTGACTCCTTGGGCTGGTACTGGAAGTTCCACAGCCCCACGCTAGCGTCGTCTGCATAGAGTGCGTGCACGCAGCCTGGCAGACCCCCCTCCAGTTACAGCTGAGAGCCGGTGGCGCTGCTGTCACCCTATGTAGTCAGTATACACACTAGACGCGATATATTCACATACCTCTGCGTGCATCCAGTGCATTGTGACTCCTTAGGCTGGTGCTGGAAGTTCCACAGCCCCACACTAGCGTCGTCTGCATACAGCGCGTGCACGCAGCCTGGCAGACCCCTTGAGCCGTTGCGGCCCCCCAAACAAAGTAGAGAGTCGGGAGCGCTGCTGTCATCTCATGAAGTCAGTACACTAGACACAATACAAGCACGTACCTCTGCGTACACCCAGTGCACTGCGATTCTTTAGGCTGATGCTGGAAGTTCCACAGTCCCACGCTTGCATCGTCTGCATACAGCGCGTGTACGCAGCCTGGCAGACCCCCGGCGCCGTCGCGGCCCCCTAACCATAGTTGGGAGCCTGTAAGTCTGACGGCGCTTGGGGCGCTACTGTTGGTAGCAGTGACGGGTGTCCCGCCGCCCATGCGCTCGAGTTTGAGGTGCACTGTGTTCCATATCCTGGACAAATAATATTATGATTTAGGGTGGATTCAACCAAACAAGAGTAAATTATTGATCTTAGAATAAATTGTCAGTTTTGACATATTTCCCATATTGAAACTGTCAATGTGCAAGAGTTATTCTCGGATAAAAGTTTGGTCAAATCGTACAAGCTTTATTGTGTAGGTACATTTTATAGATCGATTCATCCATGAAGACGCGCCCCACCACTTTTTGGTTGAAGGAAGCGCGGGGTGCGGGGAGTTTCGTAATGTAATCTCTTCGTAGAAGCTTTCAGTCACTGTACTTACAATATTCTGTGTTCGCGTAAGGGCTACTAAAAGCTCAATGTCTAAATCCATAGGGTATAGAAGTTATAGACTGACAAAGTTTGTATGATTCGAATCGATTCTGGATCTCTTTTCATGAGCAGCAGATGTTTGAAAAAATCCAAAGTTGACGACCAGCTGGTTCCCTGCCACTCACCTTTCTATCTCGATGCGGTAGGACGTCTGGTCGGCGTCGTCATGCGTGGCCTGCAACGTTTCGGGGTGCACGATGGTTGCCGCGCCGCTGCCCAGGTCCCAAGTCAACCGCAGTCTTTTCTTTTCCACCACCAGCTTCATGTATTTCTCATTATCCTGGAATATCACGGAAATCTAAATAAACCTGAGTGTGTGTAATAATGTTACTACAATTTACAGGGAGAAAAACTCATCACAGAAGTATAGAAGTGAAACGAACCTGAATAAGTATGTATACGGTAGGATTCATTTTTTATTTGTATAGTTTTGGCGACATCGATGATATCTATGCTTACGTACTTTTGATTTATGTAACGATCACTCATTCAATAACTCACTCGAAGATCGTCTTGAAATAAGAGACGTCACATCTAATGTTGGTTCTTACGCTCTGTCCTCGAGAATATACCAAGCAGTAGCTTTAGGCGTTTCTTGGGTACCCATATCTAGTAGCTTCGTTCGGTCGTTTCAGTCAAATGACGTCTACAGCTGGACATACTCGTAGGTCTCCTCCAAGGATTTCCACAGTGGTCGGGAAATGCTTTGCGCATACCCACTGGTCGACGGGGACGGCCAGTGGGTTATGTGGGACTCTCCCCGCCTACCCACTAAAGGCGGGGCCTATCCACTAAAACCCGACGGTTTCCACCAGAGCCCAAAGAAACTGTCTTTCCCGAAGACTATAATTCGGGCATTTTCAAGGCACTTACAGGGCAGATAAAGCCCGGTCTGTGAGCACGTAGAATTTTGTCCAATGACCCCAAGCTACCCATCCTTATCGCTCGCGTGTAATTATGTTGCTGTCGCGCTCGCACACTCACTGCGGGCGCCCATCGCACAGTCGCGACAGCAATATTATTACGCGCGAGCGATAAGGATGGGTAGCTTGGGGTCATTGGAGAAAATTCTACGTGCTCACAGACCAGACTATATGTGCCATTCTAGACTGCATCCCACTTAAAATCATGGTGTGATTGTGGTCAAATAACTGCTTTGTTATGCATAAAAATAAAACCGAGCCGCGAGTTATTGTCCTAGTTGGACATTCGTAAGCCTGTATCCAGGTGTTTTCCCTGAACTCTACCAGATCGTTGGTCAGCAGTGGTTTATCCAGCTGAAGTCCAGGTCACCTGCGAGTCGTCAATGAGGTGTAGCAGCGGCCCGTCGCGCACGCGCGCGTCGAACGACACGGCGAGTGCGAGGCGCGTGGCGGCCGGCGCTGCGCCTGATAGAGCGTATGCGCGAGCGCAACCCGCGCTCGCTGCTGACGTTATGTGGGACTCTCCCCGCCTACCCACTAAAGGCGGGGCCTTCCCACTAAAACCCGACGGTTTCCACCAGAGCCCAAAGAAACTGTCTTTCCCGAAGACTATAATCCGGGCATTTTCAAGGCACTTACAGGGTAGATATGTACCATCCTAGACTGCATCCCACTTAAAATCAGGTGTGATTGTGGTGAATAATTGCTTTGTTATGCATAAAAAAAATGGAGCCGCGAGTTATTGTCCTAGTTGGACATTCGTACAGTGATTGGTCCTGTACAGCCTGTATCCAGGTATTTTCCCTGACCTTTAGGCTAAGAACTCATAGCCCGATTTTCACCCGCGCCCGCGGCGGTTGTGGAATTGCGGTTTTATTTCAAAACTCACAGTCTTTTATTTTGCCTTAGAAGCGGACATCCCTGTTTTATTAATTCAATCGTTAGATATTACTATTATGTATACAATTGATGAAGGAACTAGTAGTTGTATTTGTTTAGTTTCGAAGAAATATTCGATTTTGTGATTTTATAAAAAAAACTGTTTTAGAAGCATATTTTCTAAAAAAATTACATTAAGTCAGAATTTTGTAAATAAATTTACCTATCACTATAACGTCTACCTTTATGTAAAAATAAATGGTTATTGCTGCAGTAATTTAGGAATTATTTAATAATTTATGATTTTCAGAAAACATTTTTTTCTCTGTTGTCCTAGAAAAATGGCAGCTAGACTTACTTTATATTGATGCATGATATAATTATCTATAATACCTGAAAATATTACTTACACAATCTACACCGCTGACCTACCAACGTCACATAAAGTTGTGACTGCTACCTATGCAGATGACACTGCAATCCTCTCCTGCAGTAAAGACCCGAACACAGCCTCTGCAAAATTACAAGAATGCCTGGACGAAATTGGACGATGGCTGAAAAAGTGGAGAATCCGAGCAAGCCCAGCAAAATCCGTCCACATAACTTTCGCGTTAAAGAGAGGGGACTGTTCACCGGTGACACTGGATGGTGCTGTCCTGCCAACAGACACGACAGTAAAATACCTAGGCATGCACTTGGATAGGAGACTCACTTGGCGAGCCCACATAAAGGCCAAAAGAGAACAGGCAAACAAAAAGTTTGCAGATATGTACTGGCTGCTAGGCAGACAGTCAACGCTAAGCCTGGAAAACAAAGTCCTAATTTACAAGTCTATCCTGAAACCGATTTGGACATATGGCATACAACTCTGGGGGTCAGCTAGTCACTCAAATATTGAAATCCTGCAGCGCTACCAGAATAAAGTGTTAAAGATCCTGATCAATGCCCCATGGTTCACACGAAACACGGAAGTGCACGAGTACCTAGAAATCCCTACAGTCATGGGGGAAATAGAAAGTTCTTCTGTATCCTACAAGCAACGCCTTGAACGACATATCAATCATCTGGCTACACAGCTTGTGAATACAAACAACTGCCTGTTTCGGTTGAAAAGAATGCGATTGGCTTCCATATAAAACTTCTCAGGAAGAAAAAGAGCAGGGATGACACATCACAGGACGTGCACTCCCCAAAAGTCGAATTATCAATCAACATCAAATCTGATTAAAGCCGCTGGGCTGATTGCAGATAATTAAAAAATTAAAAAAAAAAAAACATATCATTGTAAATTGGTTAGTTTTCATATTTAATTTAGATTTTAGACGTCCTTATGTTGCTGTAAATTCATTTTTTTCTTCTACTTTTCAAACTAAGTATATCAACCACAAAAATATCAAACATAACCTTATTTCTGGTTATCGAGTAAACAAGGAAAAAAGCACCCACCGTGCTCCTCATCCGCTCTTAGCTACGTGTCTCCCGTATCAAAGGGAGACCCTGAGCTGAGCCTTAGCCTGGGTGCAAAGGCGTCTCCAGTTGACATTCACCTGAGCATGCTCAAGTGCCACGTGACTGTACAACGCACGCGCAAGGGTCGATAAGAGACATAAACACCCACCATGCTCCTCGGCCGCTCCCAGCTGCGTGTCTCCATGCCTCTGTAACTCAGCCAGCTGTCTCCTCAAGCTGTAGCGCGCTCGGCGCCGAAGTTCGGCCGCATTATCGTAAGCCTTGTATCTTGAGCATGCTCAGGTAAATGAGCGGCTCATTTGGCCGAGGCGCTCAAGTGGAGACGCCTGAGCCGAGCCTGAGCCCAGACTCAGGCTTTAGGCACCCAGGTGCTAAGGCGTCTCCACTTGACATTCACCTGAGCATGCTCAAGTGGATACAAGACTGTACAAAGGACGCGTATTAAGGGTCGACGAGAGACATCGTGGAAATCCTTGGAGGAAACCTTTGTCCAGCAGTGGACGTCTTTCGGCCGAAACGAACGAGAGACATAAACACCCACCGTGCTCCTCAGCTGCGCCCAACTGCGTGTCCCCATGTCTC